GGAATTGAAGAAAAATAAGGAATCTAAATTTTATCTAAATAAGTCTAAACTAATCCTTACACAAGAATAATTAAAGATAAAACCCTTTAAATCAGTTGAATGGTGGAATAGTTGAGCGCACTTAAATGGCGTAAATTGTAAAACTAGAACTAGAACATAAATAAAGGAATCTTCTGTGATTGCACTCTAATATGAATGTTATCGTGACTAGTGCTTGCTACTATTGTTAGTAGTGGGTGTAAAATTGTTAGTGTTGGTCAGAGCTCTTATTATATTTAGATCTAGGACACATATTTTAAATACGCTGGCCAATACAGATGATTTATTGGATTTACCTGCCTTATATTATCTCTATTTCCAGAAACCGATCTGTATTTTTTAAATATTTAATTTTAATGTCAAAGTCAAATAATGTTCCTAACAATCGAATGGTCTCGTTTATTAGGCTAGGCCAAAACCTAAACGTTTTCTAATAAAATAAGGATTGGATGAGAGCGGAGATAATTATGTAAAGAAATCGGTAGTCATGGTCTATCATAGTAGTGCCATGACTCCATCCGGGATTAAAAATAAAAATGTATTATAAGATCGTTCCTATCCAATCCAGTGGCGTAGGGGCCAACAGCAGAGTTTTTTTTTTTTCGTGGTGGGTCGGCAAATACCGTTAACGAGGCGATAAATCGTACACACTAAAGGCATTTTATTTTTTAAAGGCCGCGGTAAACATAGCAAATTAAAACAAATCGTTTACCGCGGTGAAAAACATTGAACTAAACCACTACGTTTACTGTGTTTTTAAAGGCAGTGGTTGACAAACTCATTGGTTAAAAGAGCCGAAAATCAGCAGCAGGACGATTAAACAATTTTTGGGAGTCAACACCGATTAGTGGCCGACTGGCCAAGCCGCACTCGGGTCGTTAAAGAGCCGCATGCGTCTCGCGAGACGCGATTTGCCGACCACCGGGGTAAGGCCATCAGTATAATTTTACGTACGAACCCCCCCCCACGTCATGTTGCACGCATTGCACCCAGTCCGATTGAGCAGCCATACATTCCCCCCCCTTACTGTGTTTTTAAAGGCAGTGGTTGACAAACTCATTGGTTAAAAGAGCCGAAAATCAGCAGCAGGACGATTAAACAATTTTTGGGAGTCAACACCGATTAGTGGCCGCCTGGCCAAGCCGCACTCGGGTCGTTAAAGAGCCGCATGCGTCTCGCGAGACGCGATTTGCCGCCCACCGGGGTAAGGCCATCAGTATAATTTTACGTACGAACCCCCCCCCCACGTCATGTTGCACGCATTGCACCCAGTCCGATTGAGCAGCCATACATTCCCCCCCCCCTCCCCCGGCCAAGCTTACGTAAAAAGAATTTATATAGATTAAATTTAAGTATTTTAAATTATTTTAAAATATAATGATGGACCAGGTTGACACACAGCTACAAGATCAACAGGTTGGCTTTCGCCGAAACAGATCATGCACATATCGAATTGCAACACTACGAATCATTGTAGAACAGTCCATCAAATGGAACTCCCCATATATACCTACATTTTATCAACTACGAAAAATCCTTTGATAGTCTGGACCGAAAGACCTTGTGGACCCTTCTCCGGTAATATGGGGCACCAGGAAAACTACTCAGGATCATGTAGGTGGTAAACGAAGGTAGACTCTTAGGTGCCTTTAAAGTGGAAACATGTGTCAGACAAGGATGTCTCTTGACCCCCCCCCCCCCTTTTTTTTTTTCTTCTTCATCCTTTCCATTAATTGGATAGTGAAAATGTCCACAGACAAAAAGAGGAACGGGATACAGTGGACACCCTGGGAACAACTGAATGACCTAGACTTTGCCAAAGACATTACACTTCTGTCCCATAACCAGCTACAAATGCAGGAAAAGACAAAAGACGTAGCCAACACTTCAGCACAGATCGGACTCAACATAAATAAAAGAAAGACATAGATCATGAAGGTAAACTCAGCCAACCAAGAGCATATCTCTGTGGCAGAAAATGCGCCGAAATAAGTACTTTTAGGCAGCACAACTGTCAAAACAGTCCTACTTTATGGAGCTGAAATTCTGAAATAACAGAGAGCATCACGCAGAAAGTACACACCTTCATAAATATTTGGCTTAGAAAGGTCATGAACATAAAATGGCCAAACACCATCATCAACAAAGACGATTGCTCAGTTCACATGATCAAATTTTCGTCAAATGTGCGTCAATTTTTTTATGAAATTTTTAAAGGAAATTTGACGAAAATTTTGTTCGTGTGAAGTGAGCATTACTGGAACGGACATAACAAGAGCCTATTGCTAAAGACATCTTAAGGAAAAGATGAAGGTGGATAGATCACACTCTTTGTAAACTCCAATATTCAATATAACATCACCAGACAATCTCTAACATAAAATTCACAGGAAAAAAGAAAGAGATGAAGGTCTAGAGGCAGACACACAAAGTATGAGATACATCTGGCAGCAACTGGAAACGAAAGCGCGGGACCGAGATGAATGGACAATTCTTGTAGACGGCCTACGCCCCAGACGGGATATTTCTTTAGGTGGGAATGGTGAAAAGCTCATTTGTACATAAGCTTCCATTCATTCCTTATGCCTTTTATCAAATTATTTATAAAAAACGTATTTAATTTATTGATTGTCTATAAATAAATGACAATTATGAGGTAAAAGGTTATTAAGCGAAGTCACCATAAACAGTGTTAAAAACTGTCACGTATTTTCTCCTCTTTTCACGATCACAAATTACGTCACACGCGCGGAGCCAAACCATAAGTTGAACTAAAGAGTAATTGTTTTGTAACTTTGCAGTTATTCGCTTAACAATGTCAATAATAATTTATTATGTTCACTGTGGCATAAATTTACGCTGCTCAAATTAGCCATACCCCCAAACAACCCACTCAAAGTTTGCCTCAGGGTGGCACAATATCTAACTATGCCACTGCCAATATAATTTTGAAAAGTGGGGGTGCTATCATCAGGCTTTGCACCAGGCGCTACCCCCCCCCCCCCCCGCCACAACCCCCCAGGCCCATCCAA